TTTTTCCTGGAAAATATTCACATCATCATTCGGTCTGAAAATAAGATAAGAAACTGGTATACAGAACATGCAGAAGTCATAAAACCTTGTTATATCAGAAACCATTATAAATGCGAACCTGTATATATACGTAAGACCTCATGGGACGATGTACCTAACCACATACAGGTAATATACAAGTAGCTCTGTTATACCCGGAAATGTCAAGGTTAAACACTACCGATACAGAATGTACCAATGCAAAGTAAATTCTGATGATTGTGAAGCATGACCATTCATGATTTTAGAGGAGTCTTAGGTGGGGGATTGCCGGAACGATTTAAATTCTGACTAGATTTTTTCTCAATTTAAATCACTGAACTAAAAAAAAAAAAGAAGAACCTGGGAACATTATATCTAACAATGTTTATGTTCCTGCCCAAATCAAAAAAAAAAAAGAAGAAAAAAAATGAAAGAGATGAACCACTAGAGATGAACGGTAAGTCACATCAGATTCAGATATTTATATAGTTGATTGTCGTTAACTAGAGATGTATAGTTACATGTCTCTGAGTTAACTGATAAGAATGACAGGAAAGTATAAACTTGAAATCGATTTATGATGAATAATATGCAACTTCGGCACCCCTTTTTATCAAAATGTACATGCATGTATTTTAATGACTGTCCGTTATTTCGATTATAATGACAATTGTACGTGAAATCCTATAGTTGGTGAGACTTTTTTTTACCAGATATGCGACTTTTCGTATTTATATTTTCTCTTATATTACTCTTATTTAATATTTTATGCATAAGTGCGATATTGGGAATGGTTTATTCCCCCACAAGCTAACCAAGGACGTATATTAGTTATACGTCCTTGAGCTAACTTAATAAATTAATCAACCCTCAAGCTGATCAGACGTTAATACAACTACTATCAGTCTATCCGGAGTGAAGTTTCTTTATTTCTTCAAATAAACTTTTTGGGGATCATTTGTGGCATATATATTACATACATGTCGGAACAGGAAAATTGGCATAAGGTTCTATTAGAACCATGTTCACATTAATATACATTATACCCAACAATTGAGATGATGACAAATTTCTTCAACTGTTCGAGAACAATCTAATTGAAATATAAATCTGTGATTTTACTATGTCCATAACTTCGATGAACCAAAGCAAGTTAGATATCAACCTGTATTTAAATCAAATTGGTTCTGGATGTTCTTTCTTATATTCAATATACAATTTTAAATTGCGACTATCTAAAGTTTCGTAACTTTCTATCTAGGCGTATAAACCAATGATCGACAAGTGCGTACATTTTTGTTAAATCAATAGTCTTTCATGTTTCAAAATGTCCATCATTATTGACAACGAGTATATACTTACATTTTCCCCAATTTACCCTTGGAAAAAATATGTAAATAGATTTTTATTTTGTCAAATCTTTTTTGGGAATTATTTAGATTTTCATAAATATCATTCTTTACACCAGAAATGTTATTTATAAACAAGCGTATGAGTTTAGTAATGACTAGTATATCACTATCGGACACGCAAGACAGAGATATTATACACCTGATGGTTTCAAAATGGAAAGTTACAAGTTATCGGCTGTGTACACTGATCAATACCCTCAGAAGTGAAGCGATGCATGAACATGCTTTATGTTATTGTGTAATAAGAGTTTTGAATACCTGGACGTGTCACCTCACAATACCTCAGGGAATAATTCCTTTAACCATGCTGGTGATCAGATAAGAGAAGGTCCGAATTTATTTAAATAAGTTTATTACATAAAAGAATTATGAACAAATTAGATTTTCAAAAACGATTTTACACGGAACACTTATTTATGACATTGAACTTTGACTTTTTAACTAATTCCCATATAAATTTCTTGTTTCAAAAACTTCGTAAAGAAAAAACAGTTTAAAAACGTCAGACCATAGTTATTTAAAAAAATAATTACATTTTCCGTATCAAGTTAGTTAGTCGGATAAATGCGACTACGTTAGGTTACTGTTGGTTTTGGTCCTTTGTGGTTTATAGATATATCGTGGTTTCTAAACCGAGAAGATGTCAAAATGGCCGCACGCAGAGAATTGATACTCTAAATTTAAAATCGATGGTGATCTCTTATCTAGCAGAATAAAACTTTAATATTTATGAATTTGTGATTTTTTATACAGAATGGACATAATATCAATTTTTTATTTTTTTGCGAAGTTTCCCTTTAAATTATGTTTAAAGAAATGCATATTTATAAAAGAAGACCATTAAAAATATCTGCAAATGTTGCATCTTTTTTTTTTTAAACAAAAAAATCCATATGAAAGATTTGACACCATATTTTAAATTCTATTATAAAATAGAATAAGTTAGCACTATGGTAAATTTAAATGGGTAATTATGGTTGCAAACTCCATTGGATATTTAATTTGAATTGAGATTATGACCATATCTTGAGGGAAAGAATTTTTTTGGGGAAAAAGGGAGGAGGGGGGGGGGGGGGGGGGTAAAAAGAAATTGTGGGGGTCAATTTTTTCTTATTTCAGATTTCAGAAATTAAAAAAATTATTCTCCAAAATTAATTGTTTTTTCAAATTTCAAATATTGAAAAATTTCAAGAAGTAATCTTTAATTGCACAGTATGGCGCATTAGATTTGTAAAATCTTTGACCACATTTCTTTATTTGTTATGCTGAATCTGACCGTGTATTTAGATTTTTATTTTTGGGTCCAGTTTTCAAATTGGTGTACATTAAGGTCCAAAGGGTCCAAAATTAAACTTAGTTTGATTTTAACAAAAATTGAATATATTGGGTTCTTTGATATGCAGAATCTAAACATGTATTTAGATTTTTGATTTTGGTCCCAGTTTTCAAGTTGGTCCAAATTGGGGTCCAAAATTAAACTTTGTTTGATTTCAACAAAAATTGAATATATGGGGTTCTTTGATATGCTGAATCTAACCATGTATTTAGATTTTTTATTTGTGGACCCTGCTATCAAATTGGTTCATATTTAGGTCAAAAGGGTCCAAAATTAAACTTTGTTTGATTTCATCAAAAATTGAATTCTTTGGATTCTTTGATATGCTGAATCTAACCATGTATTTAGATTTTGGATATTGGACCATAATAGGTAAATTAAAAATTTTTAAGTTCTTAGACCACATTCATTCTGTGTCAGAAACCTATGCTGTGTCAAATATTTAATCACAATCCAAATTCAGAGCTGTATCAAGCTTGAATGTTGTGTCCATACTTACCCCAACTGTTCAGGGTTCAACCTCTGCGGTCGTATCAAGCTGCGCCCAGCGGAGCATTTTATTAAGGATGTGAATTTAAGCATGGATGCAATTTGGGTACTCCTTCATTACAGAATCATGGACCGTTCAGTCGGTTCAAACCCATTTTTCTACGATTCAATATGGATTCAAGATTAAATTGGTGTAACTATATAGTAAATAAGGATACATCTACAAAATAAACACAGAATGGAAACTTTTGTCTGGATTATAAATAAACGTAGGTGAAAAAACTGTGAAAATAGGTGCAATTTGGGTACCCTCACGTTACATATGTGTTAAATTAACAATGTGTAGAATGTTAATACACTTCTAAAAACAATTAAAAAGTTTTATTTGTGAAATAATTAGGCATTCTAAATACAATTTCACCAACAGTCCATTAATAATACCATTTTCTTAAAAAGTGCAGCATATCAAATGTGGGGTAAGTATGGACACAACATTCAAGCTTGATACAGCTCTGAATTTGGATTGTGATTAAATATTTGACACAGCATAGGTTTCTGACACAGAATGAATGTGGTCTAAGAACTTAAAAATTTTTAATTTACCTATTATGGTCCAATATCCAAACTGTTGATTTTTAAAATTCTATACACATGACTTTCAAAATAGTGTCTACATTAAAATAATAGTAGTACATTTGTTAAAACAGTTTAAAGTTATACATGTAGCTAATGGTAAGCTTTATGAAAAAATCATTTCAGTTTAAGTTTCAAACACACCAGGAAGTGACAGGAATGTGATAGCCAGGTATACTCCATAGGTCTACGGACACTACAGGTTTTGTAAACTTGTGTTAGTAAAGTTTAATGAATATCTACAAGTTTCCAAAACACAAAATACCTTATATTTTACTACTTAACTAAGACATAAAATAAATCATTAGTAAGTAAATAAGGATAATCATTTTGAAATTAGATACACAAATTTAATTATTTTCCTCTTTGTCTTGTATATTTATTTATATTTGATACAGATTATGAAAATATTTGTACAAAAACACTTCATTTTATATTTAATATAATAGGTTAGTAAAAACAGCCATCAGTTTAAAGTTTATTTGAACATTAAAGACCTTTAATGAGGAGAAAAGTGATAAATGCAGAAGGACTACATCCACTTCAGATTTTGTCTTATATTCATATATTATTAAAAAAGGTTTTTTTTTCTATTTACAGTGTATAATTTAACTTAATAGTAATATACAATTATCATTACATGTCTAACTTTTCATATAAAGCTTGAAATAGAAATATAAAATATGGGTCTACGGACACTACAGGTCTATGGACAAAATTTTCTTCAAAACTGACTATTTCTGTGGAAAGACCTATTGTATTTGTTCTGATTATTAGTCCCCTACCGACGAAGTCAAAGGGGACTTTAGGTTTGCACTCAGTCAGTCAGTCAGTCAGTCAGTCAGTCATGACAAGTTACAGATCAAGTTCGATTTTTTGTTCCGGTCTGATGACTTTGTGCAGAGTTATGGTCCTTGGACTTAGAAAATTCACTCAAATAATCAGTTTTCCACACTTTTTTTCGTCATGCTTGAAGATATTGATTTGATAATTTGTAAATAGTTTTATCTTGACAGGTTACAGATCAAGTTCGAATTTTGTTCTGGTCTCATGATTTTGTGCAGAGTTATGGTCCTTGGACTAAGAGAATTCACTCAAATGATCAGTTTTCCTCTTTTTTAGCTCACCTGGCCCAAAGGGCCAAGTGAGCTTTTCTCATCACTTGGCGTCCGTCGTCCGTCGTCGTCCGGCGTCGTCCGGCGTCGTCCGTCGTCGTCCGTCGTCGGCGTAAACTTTTTACATTTTGAACTTCTTCTAGAGAACCACTGAATGGAATGAAACCAAACATGGCATGAATGTTCCTTATGAGGTGCTGACCAAGTGTTGTTACTTTGTAGCCGATCCATCATCCAAGATGGCCGCCAGCGGGGGACTTAGTTTAACATAGGACCCTATGGGAAATGCATACAAATGACTTCTTTTAGAGAACCACTATATGGAATGAAACCAAACATGGCATGAATGTTTCTTATGAGGTGCTGACCGAGTGTTGTTACTTTGAAGCCGATCCATAATCCAAGATGGCAGCCAGCGGGGGACTTAGTTTAACATAGGACCCTATGGGAAATGCATACAAATGTCTTCTTTTAGAGAACCACTGAATGGAATGAAACAAAACATAGCATGAATGTTCATTAGGAGGTGCTGACCAAGTGTTGTTACTTTGTAGTTGATCCATCATCCAAGATGGCTGCCAGCAGGGGACTTAGTTTAACATAGGACCCTATGGGAAATGCATACAAATGACTTCTTTTAGAGAACCACTGAATGGAATGAAACAAAACATAGCATGAATGTTCCTTACAAGGTGCTGACCAAGTGTTGTTACTTTGTAGCCGATCCATAATCCAAGATGGCCGCCAGCGGGGGACTTAGTTTAACATGGGACCCTATGGGAAAGGCATACAAATGACTTCTTTTAGAGAACCACTGAATGGAATGAAACAAAACATAGCATGAATGTTCATTAGGAGGTGCTGACCAAGTGTTGTTACTTTGTAGCCGATCCATCATCCAAGATGGCCGCCAGCGGGGGACTTAGTTTAACATAGGACCCTATGGGAAATGCATACAAATGACTTCTTTTAGAGAACCACTGAATGGAATGAAACAAAACATAGCATGAATGTTACTTACAAGGTGCTGACCAAGTGTTGTTACTTTGTAGCCGTTCCATCATCCAAAATGGCCGCCAGTGAGGGACTTAGTTTAACATAGGACCCTATGAGAAATACATACAAATGTCTTCTTTTAGAGAACCACTGAATGGAATGAAACCAAACATGGCAAGAATGTTCCTTATGAGGTGCTGACCAAGTGTTGTTACTTTGAAGCCGATCCATCATCCAAGATGGCAACCAGCGGGGGATTTAGTTTAACATAGGATCCTATGGGAAATACATACAAATGTTTTCTTTTAGAGAACCACTGAATGCAATGAAACCAAACATGGCATGAATGTTCCTTATGAGGTGCTGACCGAGTGTTGTTACTTTGAAGCCGATCCATAATCCAAGATGGCCGCCAGCGGGGGACTTAGTTTAACATGGGACCCTATGGGAAATACATACAGACGTCTTCTTTTAGAGAACCACTGAATGGAATGAAACCAAACATGGCAAGAATGTTCCTTATGAGGTGCTGACCAAGTGTTGTTACTTTGAAGCCGATCCATCATCCAAGATGGCAGCCAGCGGGGGACTTAGTTTAACATAGGATCCTATGGGAAATACATACAAATGTTTTCTTTTAGAGAACCACTGAATGGAATGAAACCAAACATGGCATGAATGTTCCTTATGAGGTGCTGACCAAGTGTTGTTACTATGAAGCCGATCCATAATCTAAGATGGCCGCCAGCGGAGGACTTAGTTTAACATAGGACCCTATGAGAAATACGTACAAATGTTTTCTTTTAGAGAACCATTGAATGGAATGAAACCAAACATTGCATGCATGTTCCTTTCGAGGTGCTGACCAAGTGTTGTTACTTTGAAGCTGATCCTTCATCTATGATGGCTGCCAGATGGGGACAATGTTTAACAAAGGACCCTATGGACAATACATACAAATGTCTTCTTTTAGAGAACCACATACTGAATGGATTGAACCAAACATGGCATGAATGTTCCTTATGAGGTGCTGACTAATTTTTGTTACTTTGAAGCTGATCCTTCATCCATGATGGCCGCCAATGGGGGGACTTCCTTTAACATAAGACCCTATGGGAAATACATACAAATGCTTCTTCTAGAGGTGCACTGAATGGAATGAAACCAAAACATGGCATAAATGTTTCTTATGAGGTGCTGATTAAGTGTTGCTACTTTGTTGCTGATTTACTGTTCAAGATGGCCACCAGGATTTTTTATTAAATTACAGGACCAATATTAAACCAAATTTGGCCTCACTCATTATTAGGGTATCTGTTATGATTTTAATCTATTTTTACATGATTTCCAAAACCAAAGTAGAATCAGGTGAGCGACACAGGCTCTTGAGAGCCTCTAGTTTTTAGTCATGCTTGAAGATATTGATTTGATAATTGGTATATAGTTTTATCATGACAAGTTACAGATCAAGTTCAAATTTTGTTCTGGTCTCATGATTTTGTGCAGTGTTATGGTCCTTGGACTTAGAAAATTCACTTAAATAATCAGTTTTCCACACTTTTTTTAGTCATGCTTGAAGATATTGACTTGATATTTGTTATATAGTTTACACCATGACAAGTTATAGATCAAGTTAGCATTTTGTTCCAGTACAATGAATTTTTAACTGGTAGGGGACTATGTATTGCCATGCAATACTCTCAGAATGCTTGTAATTAAGTTGCCAAGTCGCCAAAACAGAGTTTGGAGACTTTATGTTTTTGTTCCGTTTCTTATTAAGTCGCCAAAACGGAGTTTTGGAGACTTTATGTTTTTGTCCCGTTTCTTATTATTATGTCACCCGATCGACAATGTCGGGTGACATATTGCTTTTCCTCTGTTTCTTTTTAGGAAATATCGGTTATTAAAATGGTGATGTACGGCGGGCGGCTGGGCTGACCTACGGGCGGCTGCCAAACAGTGTCAGCACAATAACATGAAAACGCTTTAACAAATTTTTTTCAAATTTAAATATGTTGTTTCCTGGGACTTAATGAAGGTCTAGTTCTATTTTCAAGATATTAGTATATTTCCTTTGTGAGTTATCGCCATTTTTAATATCCAAAAATTGAATTTTTAAATATTTTACTCTTGTTATCTTTTTCATGACTAAGCATAATGTCTTATCTCACAATAAAAATTGGAGTGACAGATTTATTTGAAAATTATCTATTTCCTAAGTGGTAATGATTATAAGCTATTTTATTAGACATTTTGAAGTTAATTACATTATTAATTATTAATTAGATCTGGGTTATATCTTAGCATATAATATCATTGGACTGACAGATTTATTTGAAAATTTTCTGTTTCCTGATAAGATCTGTAGGACTGTATATATAAAGTTTGAAATTTACTAGAAGGACTGTATAAATGAAATTTGAAATTTACTGTTCATTATTAGACATTTTGTAGATAATTAAGTCTCCCTAAACCATATATATTCTTACCCCCACCCCCTTTCAATTTGAGAATGTGCTTTTATCTTGTAAACGGTTGAGATCCCCACCCTAAACCATATATATTCTTGTATGGGACAATAAAAGAAATCAAATGAAATATTTGGGGAGTCCCTGGGTTCACCCCCACCCCCCTACTTTTTGAAAACTTGTAAACGGTCAAGATCCCAACCCTGAAACCATATATATTCTTGTATGTGACAACAAAACAAATCAAATGAAATAAAAGGCGAGTCCCCTGGGGTCACCCCACCCCATCCTGTTTAAGAACTTGTAGTCGTCGTCATTGTCGTCGTCGTCCGGCGTCGTCGTCGTCCGAATACACATTAGTTTTCGCACTCTAACTTTAGTTTAAGTGAATGGATCTCAATGAAATTTTACCATAAGGTTCAATACCACAAAAGGAAGGTGGGGATTGATTTTGGGGGTTATGGTACCAACAGTTAAGGAATTAGGGGCCAAAAAGGGGTCAAAAATAAGCATTTTTGTAACTTCCAGACATAACTTGTGTGCAAGTGTATGGATCTCTCTGACATTGTACCACAAGGTTCCATATCACAAAGGGAATGCAGGGATTGATTTTGGGGGTAATTGCCTCCAAATTTTAGGAATTAGGGGCCAAAAAGTGGCAAAAAACAAGCATTTTTCTAGTTTCATGACGATAACTTGTGTGTTAGTGTATGGATCTCTCTGACATTGTACCACAAGGTTCCATATCACAAAGGGAATGCTGGGATTGATTTTGGGGGTAATTGCCTCCAAATTTTAGGAATTAGGGGCCAAAAAGGGGCAAAAAACAAGCATTTTTCTAGTTTCATGACAATAACTTGTGTGTAAGAGTATGGATCTTTATGAAATTGTACTACAAGGTTCCATATCACAAAGGGAAAGCTGGAATTGAGTTTGGGGGTAATTGACCAAAAAGCTTAGGAAGAAGGGGCCAAAAAGGGGCCAACAATAAGCATTTTTCTAGTTTCCAGACAATAATTTGTCTTCAAGTGTATGGATCTCTCTGAAATTGTACTGCAAGGTACCATACCACAAAGGGAAGGCTGGGGTTGATTTTGGGGGTAATTCCCTCAAAATTTTAGGAAATAGGGGCCATAAACGGGCAAAAAAACAAGCATTTTTCTAGTTTCAGGACAACAACTTGTGTGTAAGTGTATGGATCTTTATGAAATTGTACTGCAAGGTTCCATATCACAAAGGGAAAGCTGGGTTTGAGTTTGGGGGTAATTGCCCTAAACGTTTAGGAATTTGGGGCCAAAATGGGGCCAAAAAACAAGCATTTTTCTAGTTTCCAGACAATAACTTGTGTTCAAGTGTATGGATCTCTCTGAAATTGTACTGCAAGGTACCATACCACAAAGGGAAGGCTGGGATTGAGTTTGGGGGTGGTGAATCATAAGGGGGTTCAAAAAATTTGGGGTTGGATTTTTTTTTCCTTTTTTTTCTTTAGAATTTTCCATTTTAAATTGGTTATTTCTAATTTATATATAATAGCAAATAATAATGATATGGTTTGAATAGGTAAATTAAAAAGTTCTTAGACCACTTTCATTCTGTGTCAGAAACCTATGCTGTGTCAAATATTTAATTACAATCCAAATTCAGTGCTGAATCAATCTTGAATGTTGTGTCCATACTTGCCCCAACTGATCAGGGTTCGACCTCTGCGGTCGTATCAAGCTGCGCCCCAGCGACGCATTTTATTGGCTCATATCTCTGAAACCAAATCATTTAGAGCAAATCTGACGAGGATAAAATTGTTCATTAGGTCAAGATCTCTCTGCCCTGAAATTTTCAGACCAATCAGGCAACACGTTGTTGGGTTGCTACCCCTGAATTGGTAATTTTAAGAAAATTTTGCAGCGTTTGGTTATTATCTTGAATATTATTATAGATAGAGATAAACTGTAAACGGCAATAATGTACAGCAAAGTAAGATCTACAAATAAGTCAACATGACCAAAATTGTCAATTGACCCCTTAAGGAGTTATTGCCCTTTATAGTCAATTTTTTACAATTTTCATAAATTTTGTAAATTTTTATAAATTTTTACAAAATATTTTCCACTGTAACTTCTGGGCCAAGTTCATTATAGATAGAGATAATTGTAAGCAGCAAGAATGTTCAGTAAAGTAGGATTTACAAACACATCACCATCAACAAAACACAATTTTGTCATGAATCCATCTGTGTCCTTTGTTAAATATGCACATAGACCAAGGTGAGCGACACAGGCTCTTTAGAGCCTCTAGTTTTGAAAACTTATAAACGGTCAAAATCTCATCCCCGAAACCATATATATTCTTGTACGGGACAATAAAACAAATCAAATGAAATACAAGGTGAGTCCCCTGGGGTCACTCCCACCCCCTCCTGTTTAAGAACTTGTAAACAGTCGAGATACCCACCCCTAAACCATATATATTCTTGTATGGGACAATAACACAAATCATATTAAATATAGGGGAAGTCCATGGGGATCACCCCCACCCCCTTCTTTTTGACAACTTGTAAATGGTCTAGATCCCCACCCCTAAACCATATATATTCTTGAATGGGACAATAAAACAAATCAAATGAAATTAAGGGGAAATCCCCTGGGGTAACCCCCACCCCCCCTTGCTTTTGAAAACTTGTAAACGGTCAAGATCCCCATGCGGAAACCATATATATTCTTGTATGGGACCATAAAACAAATCAAATGAAATATAAGCGAGTCCCCTGGGGTCACTCCCACCCCCTCCTGTTTAAGAACTTGTAAATGGTCAAGATCCCTACCCCTAAACCATATATATTCTTGTACAGGACAAAAAAACAAATCATATGAAATAAAGGGAGAGTCCCCTGGGGATCACCCCCCCCCCCCCCCCCCCCCCCCCCCCCCCCCCCCCCCCCTCCCCCCCTTCTTTTGAGGACTTGTAAACGGTTGAGATCTCCACACCTAAACCATATAAATTCCTGTTCGTAATTTCAAGAAGATTTGAATGACATACAGGGTCAATCCATAGGCGTCACAAATGCATATCATAAACCAATTTGTACTGGACATTGCCCAATGTCAAGCGACAATGGGAATGACGAATTATTGGAGCTTTGTTTGGCAGACTTCGTAACAGTATTCTGTTACAATTATTTCTTGTTACTGATAAGTTTTATAGATTTGAAATGACATTGTATAAATGATAAATAGAATTTTGGATTTTTTACTTCTTTTCTTTGGTAAATTGTTTGTAGAATTTTGTGGCAATTTTGTTTGTTATTCTGTAAAAACTAATTTTCTGAATGCTATATATATTTTTTTTTTGATGAAGTAAACTCCTTTAAAAACTAAGCTTATATTGTCTATTAATAAACATATATTTAGATTTCTGATTTTGGGCCCAGTTTTCAAGTTGGTCCAGACTGTGTTTGATTTCAACATAAATTGAATGTATATAGGGTTCTTTGAAATGCTTAATCTAAACCTGTATTTCTTTTCATTATTAATAAGATAATACCACATTGAGGTCCAAAGGGTCCTAAATTACACTTTTGATTAATTTCATCAAAAATTGAATTCTTAAGTTCTTTGATATGCTGATTCTAGCAATATTTGAGTGTTAAATCATATCTAATTTTAGAGAACTTAGTCATCACTGGTTGTTGTTATTATATTATTGATTATAATTTGAAAAATTGCATCATATCTTATTTTAGAGAACTATTTCCCTTTGCACAGAAAATATTATGGATAAAATTAACCTGTGTTTCATTTCAACATAAATTAAATATATATAGGGTTCTTTCAAATGCTGAATCTAAACCTGTATTTAAATATTAGATTTTTGGGCCCAGTTTTCAAGTTGGTCCAAATCAGGGTCCAAAATTAAACTTTGTTTGATTCAACAAAAAAATTAT